CCTAGAACGCAAAGGTTCGGGATTTCCGAGACTAAAGTCTGGTTTAAATATCCAGAGGTATATCCGCGGCTTGAAATCTGTATGGCAGCCCCATAGATTGAGATAACATGTGTATGCGCCTCAATTTTGGATACTGAACCAACCTAGTCTGTCACCCTGTTGGAGAATAGGAAAAGCTGCGACCATAGTCAGGGAGAAAAGTAGTACCTGTGGCTCAATCAAAAAGAAGCGAGAGATCCCCAGCAACATGAGGCACGATATTCCATGTACGGTTCATTCGAAGCTGGTGCAACCAGACGAATCGCGCAGGTATTGTATCTTCTCCGTGTGAAACGTGATGAGAATCGAACAATTCTCCGCATTCTTAACTGCATGAAATGTAGTTGTTGCTTTGCATTCTTGCTTAAAACTGTTGCATCTATTGTGAATATGTGCTTCATTACAGCTTGCTGCATTTGCATGATCATTGAGATACCTTCGGCTTCTTGCATTGTCGATTGCATTTTGCCCCTGCCTGCGGGCATGCCTGCGGGCATATCTCTGTTTGTCTTACCTGTTTGTCTAAGTCTTCGGCCTTGTCAAAAATGGGTCGTCTGCGGGCTTTGACATTCACTCCCGTCACTTATGACTTCCGAGTTCTGTCAAAGAGGCGCAACTGTAGACACCCCATTTCTGACCGACCTTAAGACTCAGACGTCACTGATTGAACGCTCGGTTATATTGCATATTGCGCTCGTGCAGAAGTTTCAGAGTCCCGACTGCAAGCCTTGCCTCTAGACTTCCGGACTCTTTCGTGCATTGCCTCGGTTTGCGAACCAGGCTCTGTTTTCTCTGTTTTCTCTTCCCGAAGGGAGGGAGAGGTCTCCTAGACCATCTCTCAGTGGCCGTAGGCTACGTTTCGCGGTCGTAGGCCATTTTTCCCATTTGGAGCCCGGTTTCCAGTTTTTCGGAGCCGTCGACCGTGTGCCTCGGTTCGGGACCACCTAACCACCTCCGTTTGCTCCGGTTTTTGGTATACACCTTATTTCCTCCCTTTTGAGGAACACTGTGGCCCGAGAGACCAACTTCGTGGTCGAACGCCACCTCCAGTGCTTAACAGCCCATTTTCGGGGCCCCAGGCCGCTCGTTTCGGTCCCCCGAACCTCCGTTTTGCATCCGTTTTGGTTCTTTTTTGGTGGAGGCCTTATTTTCATAGTTAGGAAGCTTGTAGGAGGGTGGGAGGCCAGCAATTGTTCTGAAAAGCTAGCTTTATTTCTTCATCGCTCTCCGACGCCCGTTTTCCTCACTTAAAAGCCAATGTTGACCACCCCGGGGCCACTTTTTTGAACCCTAAACCCTATATTTGTGTTGTACACACCTGGGAGGCCACCAATATTTGGTGGCCGACCAGTAATTGTGCTTGACCCTTTTGAACCCCTCTAAAAAATGGTCTTTTCTCTCTCCTGGTTCACTTTTTCTGGGTTTTGACTACATAGTTGTGTTGTGCACACATGGGAGGCCACCTTTTTGGGGTGGCCGACCAGCAATTGTGCTTGACCCTTTTGACCCTTGGTCGGCCGGCCATGGAAGGTGGCCGGCCGGCCCCCTGAACCTTCTGAACCTGGCCGGCCATGACCCTCTCACCTGGTTACTTACAGCTGCACCCTCTGTTTCCCCCCAGATCCTGTATCCGAGGGGGGGTCTTTTGGGCGGAAATTTGAATTTGATTTTCCTCCCTTTTTCCTCCACTCCTTTCCCTATAAAACCAGCACTTCCAGCTGCATTTTAAAAGGTTACAAAAACTTGTTTGGAGCTCTTGCATTCAATCTCTCTCTCTCTCTCTCTACTCCAAGCACGAAAACCCCTTAAGTTCTACACCATTTACCCTACACCTCATAGCACAAGGCCTCCATCCCTCATTCCAGCAACTTGAGGTTTCTTTCCAGAGGTGAAGAGCTCCCAAACTTGGCCCAAAAGTTGTTGAAGCTTGGTTCTACAAGGGTAAGTCCTCCTCTTCTCTTTTCTTGCCTTATTTTGCTTTGTATCTAAGCCATACTTGCTAGATTTTTTGGGCTCCGACCCATACTGTAAAATATCTTGTTTTGAGCCCCTTTTCATGTTTGATCAAGGACCTCCTACTGTTTGAGGTCTCCTACTACCACTTGCCTCTTTATCTCTCTTTTAGGCCAATTTTTGCATAGTATTTTAGGCTTATTTTTGAGTTGTTTTGGACTTGGTCATAAACTTTAAAATATCTTTTTTTGAGCCCCTCTTCAACATTGTTTAAGGGCTCTCCTCTGTTTGAGGCCATCAGCTATCACTTGCCTCTTTAACTCTCTTTTAGGCCTATTTTTGCATAGTATTTTAGGCTTATTTGTGAGCTGCTTTGGACATTTCCATAAACTTTGAAATATCTTTTTTTGATCCCCTCTTCAACTTTGTTGAAGGGCTCTCCTATTTTTGAGAACAAAAGCTACCACTTGTCACTTTACCCCTATTTTAGGCCTTTTCTTGCATGATAGTTTGGCCTTATTTTTGATTATTTTCGTGGCTTGATATAAACTGTAAAGTACCTTATTTTGATCCCCTCTTCAACTTTGTTGAAGGGATATTTTCCATTTGGGGCCAGCTGCTGTCCCTTTGTGTTTAATCTCTCTTTTAGAGCCATTTTTGCATGATAGATTAGCCCTATTTGTGTTCATTTTTGAGACTTGTTATAAATTGGAAATATGCATGTTTTGGGACTGTCTTGCATCTGTCTTCATTATTCATGATCAAATAATGCATGCTTTGTATAGCTGTAAGTCATTCCACGTGCCTAGTTTCGGATTTCGGGGTTCATTCCATGCATCGGGTGCCATGTTTCCATGTTTCGGGGCTGTTTTGTATCAATTTTCCGCTCTGAAATTTTCATATTTGCATACCATATTTCATTCCTTGCCATGCTTTGGTAGAGTGGCATTTGTTGCCTTAGGTTCGGTCCTCGGTTTGCGTGCATGCGTGCGCGTACTTCGAGAGTCTCATTTTCATCTAATGGCTATTGATGTGAGTGTGGCTGAGGTCCACTCATGTTGGTGTAAGTCCATTATGCATTGTGTATGCCATTTCGATTCATAGCATTGCGTATGCTAGGTTGTATGTTAGAGCATTGTGTATGCCTTGTTACATCGTGCATTGTGTATGTCATCTCATAGCATTGTGCATGCTAGGTTGTATACTAGTTGCATTCATGCATGTCATGCATATTGCATTGTGCTTGGGATAGGAAACGAGGGACGTTTCGTACTTCGAGTGACGGAACGTGTCTCAATTCCCAGTCACCGACACTCCGGATTATCCATGATGGAGTCTAGGTCTTGTTGTGTTTGTATGTGCATTCATTTCATATCGAGTCATGCAATTCGACTCCTCGGCCATCATGCATCGAGATGCGTGATTGGTGGCACGAGGATCGAGGACTACACTCCCTGAAGAGTAGTCATGCATACATATGTGAAAATACTTTGTCATGCCCCTTTGTTGCTCTCTGTTGCATCAAATCAGAAATCGGCAGCCTTCCGGAGCTTGACACGCATTCCAAGAACAATTGCAAACAGAGGCAAACCGGGGCATCGCGAGGGATTCTCCGCACAAGGCAACCCGAGCATGCATCATTCATCATCCGGAGCAGATTTGAGGCAGTCCCTGGCTTGCATGCCAATTTATTGCTTTCCTATTTTAATTTGTTAATTAATTAGGGTTTTGTACATATTTGGACTGTAATTATTCATTTGGGACTGTATATTATTTATTCGGACCCTCCGCGCGAGGGCACAACTGTAATAAGTGTGCGTCTGTGTGATGTATGTCTTCCAACCCCATGTCTTTCTCCCTTTTATTTACCCGCTTATGATGGTTAGATTAGGGCATGTTTCAATTAGCATACAGTATGATAGCATGTTTGCATTCATTCATCTGTCTTGCATGCACCGGGCTCGGCGCATCATACTAACTGCATTGTATTTCAATTCCAAAGTTGAATACATGTTAGCTGTAGCATTTCATATGCCATGTTTAGAATAGCCGAGCCTATCTTAGTTGCATTTTTGCATGTGTTGCATTAGGCATTTCTGTATAGTTAGGATCATGCATGGATTTCTAATTAGCTTCTGTTTTGGCTTGGAGTACTCGGTAAGTTTTATGCTTTAGCATCCTTGCATGTGTGTGAGTGACTGCCATGATAGCATGCTTACCATGAGACTATGTGCTTATGTGATATAACTTCCTGAATGCCTGTGGGTGAAGGTTGGGTTATTTGGATTGGAACAATTCATTCACTGTAAGTTTTAAGCCCACTAGATAGTGGCAAAATCATGTTTTTCTAAGCCCACCTGAGGGTGGCAAATCTACGTCTTAGCCTACTTGCGGGTAGCACCATCAAACCATTTTCAAATAAAGAAACATGAAATGTTTTGTTCCAATTCTGGTGACCCAGTCTATACTTGTATACTGTGCGCATCACATAGTAAATCTAGGCTAATAACCGGAATAAGAACGCATAATGTTTTCAAAAATAGATATCATGGTTCGTAGAGGCCGTTCTTTGATCGAGCGAGTGGGGGTGCTCACGAAGTGACCTTCCCCAATCGTACCCAAGTTCCCGAGCCGAGGCAACTTTGGTGATGACGGACACGTGGCCTTAGGCAAACGAGTCAGGGTTTTCTAAATTTCCCCAAAATAAAATATTTAGGTGGCGACTCTGTATCTGGCAAAGCAGTCTATGTTTTGCACTTCTTTCAAAATCTGTTTTCTCAAAACGATTTGCCGGATTTGGACTCTTTGGTTCAGATTTAGAACCGTGACAATTTGAGAGTCCGAGCTGTAGTGACCCCAATACGAACGGAACGGGACTCACCCTCCCGGGGCGTTCGGCGACGTCTACAATAGGTCAGTGTAATTTACCCAATTATTTTAAAAAAATCTTGGTCTATATCATATTTCTTAATTTTTTACATATAGTAGTAACGAAACTAGATTCTCAGTGTAATTTACCCAATTATTTTAAAAAAATCTTGGACTATATCATATTTTTTAATTTTTTGCATATAGTATTAACGAAACTAGATTTAGTTTTCAGCTTTTTGTTTGTGGATTTTGATGTATTTTCTAGTTTAGAGCTTTTGACAGCCATTTATCTATTATTTTCTACTAAAATATTTATTGATTGCCAAATGGAATTCTAAGAAAAATGCTGCTAGTTTAGCTTACATATGGACTTCCTCTTTGCTCTCCAAATATTTTTTTTTCCCTTTGGGTATGTTTTATTGACAGGATTAGAGTATGGGATTGAGATTATTAATCTGTGGGCCCAATAAGTGTTTTGAATTTTGTTTTAGGATTATTGATAATTAATCCAACAAATTTGTGGGATTATATATCATGAACTGGGAAAATAAAATAAAAAGATTTTTTACTCTTGACTAAAAATTAACACACTTATTATTTTTATATAATTTTATATTTTAGAAGGCTAAAAATATTTTTTAAAAATTTGAAAATATTTTTTGATATTTATTTTATCAAATTAATTTATATAAAAAAAAAACCAAACATGGCCTTTGTATTTTTATTTTGCTTTTATTTATTTATTTATAATTTTTTTCAAAACCACGTTTATGAAGAAATTTTGATAAAGTAAAGATTGTAAAGAAACATTGATGGAGGGTAAGATTAGAAAAGAAAATAAATATAGTTGTAATCTTACATTCATATGTTTTCTTATCCAATGCAAATCAAACAATGGACAATGGGATAATTTATCCTACTAATATAATTGGATAGTGAATATCACACTAATTTGATGGGATTATTAATACCTTCGCTATTAGTCTTGTGAATCAAACATGGCCTTTGATCCTTCCGAATTTTTGGGAGTTATGTTATGACTCTTTTTGGCTTTGTAGTCCATTCTTATTCTCTATTTTTAACAAGCTTGATCTCAAGTATAGTTATATGATGCTATTTGTGGAATGACTGACTTTTTGTGAAACATTATTAAGTTAATTTAATCCTCGCCATGATGTTGCCGTTTTTTAACAATTAGGATTACTTCATTTTTCTTATTGTATTGAATTTAAGGAATTGGTTGTGCTATATGCTCCTATCATCATATTTGATGGTTGGTGTTATATCTTTGTTTTGTGATTTTTGCCCCTGTTCTTTTCTCAAATCATTTTCTTGTTTGGCTTTAATTTTCACTTCAATTTGTTTTTTTATTGAAGCATTTTGGGTGTTAATTTGTAGGGTTCAAGAGGGAATCTGGAGGGAAATATATAGAAAGATGGAGGGAGAGAAAAACGGGGCGCTACTTGCATAACGTCGCCAAATTGAAGGTTGCTTATAGTAGTCCATAGGTTCCTTTATTTTTCTTTGCTCAATCAAACTTTGTTTTGTCATGGGAATGACTCATTTTTTGTTGATAGAGCTACTATGGATGTAGCATCAGATATTTGAAAATTGAAATCAGTTTGTGTAATTAAAGTTTAAATGCTTTGATTTACTAGGAAAATATTTGTTGTTTATTTTTTTCAAATGTAAATAATCATGTTTTTAAATTTAAAAAGTCCGAGATTTTTTTTTATCAAATACCAATCATGGTTAAAATAGAATGGAGATCTTTTCTCATTTACAATGACACTAATTGAGATGTATGTTTTAGAAGTGATCATAGGTTTATTAAAAAACTGAGATCTTTTGCCATTTATAATCACACTTTATAAAAAAATGTGATCTTTTGCCATTTACAATCGTACTTCTTTAAAAATTGAGATGTATGTTTTAGAAACGATCAGTTATGTAGAAAAATTGAGATCTCTTGCCATTTACAATCGTACTTTCAAAAAATTGAGATGTATGTTTTAGAAATGATCAATTATGTAGAAGAATTGAGACTTTTCGCCATTTACAATTACAAGTTTTTACAATTTTTGAAAAACTGAGATGTATGTTTTATATATGATCACAATTTTATAGAAAACATTGAGAACTTAATAAGAATATTAATCATACTTTAAAATTTTAATCTGTGTTTTTAGTTTACTATCATGGTTAGAAAGTGATGGAAAATAAGGATAAACCATTACACTTGCATAGATCACGCTTTTTGTAGTGTGAAAGATTGAGATTGATTTGGATTTGGATTGGATCCAGTCCAGTCTAATCCAGTAGATTTGGATTGGTTTTTTGAATCCGTGGTTCAGTTCCGGATTGAAAAATTAAAAATCCGTAGTTTGCGGATTGGTTCCGGATTGAACCTCACGATTCCGGATTGGAACCAATCCGAACCGTATACAAATAGTCTATATTTTTATTATACACCCTCCTGCATAGTATTTTCTATTATTTCATATAAAGCTTAAATCCAAACCTAAACTCGCATAGTATCATCTTTTATTACTTTTGTTTGCTAGTTTTTAGTGTTAATTTCTAATAGTCTAAATATTTATAGTGGAGCCAGTTTTCTTATGGTTGTTTAAATTCTAGAACAGTATGTCGCTATTATGAAAAGACATGTTACTATTGTGAAACTAATATGGTGCTATATTTATAATTTTATGAAATTAAAGTGTTATATATATTTTTTCGTTATTTAATTATGTAAATCCGTGATCTTAAACCGATCAAATCCGTGTTTAAATGGATTGGTTCGGATTGGTTCCATAATTTAAACGAATTGGATTGGTTCCAATTTTTCAAGAACCGTAGATAACGGATTGGTCCTAGTTTTACCCTAATCCGGTCCAATCCGGACCATGCTCACCCCTACTATGTAAGGTGTGACAATCCAACTCTGGATTATGCTAATTAATCTTAATTATGATTATAATTATGAGCTTGATATGATTTTGAATGCTAATTATATGATTATATGTGTTTGTGAATTTATATATGTTCACCGTAGGAAACTCTGTTTGACTTTCCGTTATAAAATTTGAATTGAAGGCCGTAGAGGTGACAAAAACTGAAATTGACTGTGTTTTTGCATTCAACATGATTTCTAGAGCCTATGGTGAAATTTAATTGAAAACTGATTCAAATCAAAATAATTAGATTAAATTGACTAAATTAAGTACAATTAATTAACCTTAATTAAGATGGATTGGTTTAAACTAATCACTTAATATATATAAGTGCCAAACACACTTAAGCTCATTTATGAGCTCGTAAAAATCTGAATATACACTCTAAAGGGAGAGAGTGAACCGAACTAGAGAGAGAGGGAGCTCAACCTTGGAGATTTGCAAGTGAATTCAAGAGACGAGGATTAGTTCAAGAATTGGCTATAATCATAATCGGAAGAGTTGAAGCTCCTAGGTGAGTAATTGAGCTCAAATTCATGAGTTTAAACTTGTAATTATGTGAATTCCAAGGGAATTGATGATCAAGAACAAATTTGAGTAGTGTTTGATGAAATTGAAGTTAAAGTCTCTATGCATGTAAAGAATTACCATGAAATGTGCATAATCATGAAGAATTGAGCACCAAAATTCACATGCATGCATAATTTTGTTAAACCTCATGATTTTGATCATCATTTGTATCATTTGACATGGAATTAGAGTCTATATTTCACATGCATGCGTCATCCTTGAAGATATGAAGCTTGGTAGCTTGTGTTATGAAGTTGTCAAAAAGAATGTAAAATGATTTGGGATTTAGATCATGGTTTTGGACAAATTAGACTCAATTTGCCTATGTTCTCATGTTGTATGATGTTTTCCATGTTTTTGTACCAAAAATGTAAGTTTTGAGCCTTTGGAATCAAGTTATGAACTTCAAACACAGTTCTGGAAAACCCAGAATTCGACTTGTCTGCTCGAGCGAGGAAAGTGTCGCTCGAGCATGAAAGTCAAGCTCCCAGAAGTTTTTCAGAGATTTGCATTGTGGCTCGAGCGGAAAACTCTACATTCGAGTGAACCCTGTTTTGCAAGACTCCTCGCTTGAGCATCAGAAATCTCGCTCGAGCGTAAAATTCATGTAACCGGTGCTTTTATAGAGTTTTGCAGTCCGCTCGAGTGACCAAAGCTGCGCTCGAGCAGAGAATCCTGTTTCAGAAATCTTGAAAAGTCATTTTATGATTCGTTTTCCATTCTTTTTCATTTCTAAGTACTCTTAGGCATGCATTGGACATTCTAAGTGAACTAAAGGACACGAAAGAAGCCTAAGAGCACTAAGCAAACTAAAGAACGGATTGAATGGAATTATGACCCGATGTGTTATAAATAATGTCGGGTCGAGTGCAAGGACGAATCAAGCACCGGAACACGGTGAGTAATATCTTAGCGATGATGTTTTCGTATGCGCATTATTTTTTAAACAATGCCTATGTGGTAAGGTTCTAAACCTTTAAAGTGATAATATGAACGAGCGTTCCAATCACTCAATTTGGAATAAGATATACAAAGCTATCAATGTATGAGTATGAAATGGGCCTAAGGCTGTTCGGTATATTCGATGAGAATGTTAAAATGGGCCTAAGGCCGTTCAGTATATTCAATGAGAATGTGAGGGTCTAAGGCTGTTTTATATGATTATTGAATGGGCCGAAGGCCATTTGGGATAAGGAAAAGCTATGGACCTAAGGTCGTTTTGGATATAAGAATGAATGTGATCATAGACTGGATGTATGCATACAATGAATGTGCGTAAGTATTGGACCTAAGGTCGTTCTATGAGTATTGGACCTATGGTCGTTCAGTGTGTAATGGACCCAAGGTCGTTCAATACGTAAGTTGGACCCGAGGTCGTTTTGCCTATGATGGAACCAAGGTCATTCTGTATGTTACATGGACCCAAGGTCGTTTTGTACTTGGGATATGATGTAAAGGACCTGAGGTTGTTCTGCTTTAACAACTGAGTACTAAGTGTGATAATGAACTGTGATATAAGAATCTTGTTCATTGTAACGACCCCAAAAATAATACAAATAATCCATTCCATAAGATTTATGAACATAATAGAAATGACATACTTTCATTCATCAGAATTTATATTACAAAGGGTATTACATGCATTATACATTCATAAACGTTCATTATGAATCTACAGCATGTAATACAAGTTAAAAACAAAATAAATGCCCTACGGGCTTACATCTTTCCAAGATAACACTTAGTTAAAACAAAAGAGAGTCATAAGCTCTATACATTTAAAGCCCTCGGCTTGAATGAACCGTTAAACACAAAAATAACAAAAATAGAGCCTCCAGCTCCTAAGTCCTCCCAAGCTACGTCTGAAA